TGTATATGTGTATGTGTATATATGTATGTATGTATGTATGTATATAGTTTTCCCGAGCCAAAAGGAAGATTAGTTGGTCAATTCCTAAGGGGTACAACATTGGATCAACATCAATGCACCATCTCCATGGTGTCCACCTCTTCTTGCGCCTTCAATTAGTCAAACTGTAACATGTATCCTATACTAGTTGGCACGCAGGTCTAAAAGAAATCGGACTCGTAGGCCCATAATAATAACAATAACAATGGATTCGCAGGTTTAATATAATAAAGAGCTCGCAGGCCCATAACAACAATATTAACAACGGATTCGCAGGTCCAAAACAATTAAGGGTTCGCAGGCCCATAAAACAACAAGAAGTAAATCAACCATTCAACACATCCATGTGGTCAAATCCATAATTATCCATAAACATTCATCACATAAATGTTTCCTATGTATAATATCTAATATTATATGCAGTGTATCATAAATCTAGCAATTATAGTTATCAAAACTAATTCAAGATTTTGGATCGAAATAATTAAATAATTAATTAATCATATTAATTAATTAACTTAGTTGGCGGGCCTATTTAATTAAAATCAAATTTTAACTAAATCCCGAATTAGAGTCCAACTCTAATTCCATAACTATTGGGTGAAGTAATTTAATCAAAATCGAATTATAATTAATTATTAAATTAAAGTCATACTCTAAATTTTAATATGCATTGGGAAGTGGTATTAATTGAAATCAAATTTTAATTAATATAATATTAGAGTCCAACTCTAATAAAATTGAATTAATATTTTAATTTAGGACAAAATTCCCAAATAAAATAAAAATTCAATTAAGGGTCAAAATTAAATATTTAAGTTAAAATCTAATTTTAACAAAATATAAAAGTCGTCAAATTTTAAATAAATTTTAATTTTGGGTCAAAATTAGAGAATAGGTCAAACCCAATTAAAACATTATTTTAAAACCAATTCAAAATTCAAATTCAAAACCATTTTGAAATTTACAAATTGATCCAAGTTGGAAATTAACACCATACCCTTCTAAATTAAAAAATTGCAGAACAGGTCCCCCTTTTAAAATTTGCAAACTGACCCAGTTTCATAATTGTAACCAGGGGCCCATAATTGCATTATTTGCAACTGAGGCCCCCGTCTCCAACCAAAAATCCTAGGAATTTTTTTTTTTCTATTGTTGGCGCCACCCTGCCTAACAGCTGGAGGCGGCAGCCCCCTACCACAACAACGCTAAGGCGCTGCTGTTGCAGCGGTATCGTTGCCGCTGCTGTGGGTCGGCAGCAATGCGCTGCTGCCGTGCCGCGGTGGCGCCGCCTTCGATCCAGTTAAAAAAAAAAAGTTTTTTTTTGTTTTGTTTTTCAAAATCAGATTCTGAAAAATAAAATTAAAAACTATATTTGCTAGATTTAGGGATGAACACGATTAAATCAACCTTTAATTTAATCAACATGTAAATCAGTTCCTAACAAATACAAAGTTGGCTCTGATACTACTGTTGGGAATTTACTTAAACATGCATAGCGAAATTAAACAATTTCAATTCCCATTCAGGATTTAGCTTTGTATTTAGATAAGAACTGTGATAAGAAATATATATTTTTCTTGATTTTGCAAACTCCTTTGCGTTATTTTTTTACAGCAACTTGAATCTGCCTTTCACAGCTGTCCAATTGTCCAACCTCCAATGAAATCCACACAGAGAATGGACTCTAACTGCTAGGGTTTTTCTTCTTGTGCCAGCAAGAATAATGAAAACCTTATGGACCTTAAACCCTAGTCATGTATTTATATAAACCCAAATGGGCTCGGTTCAGTCCAATATTTAATTAATCTATTTAATTAAACCCAGTCCGTTAGTTAATTCGGGATATAAATAACAAATCCAATTAATTAATTTATCCAACGATTGCTAAATTAATTAATTAACAATTTGCAATCTTCCAATTCTCTTTTGTGTGCGACCTATTAGGTTCTCGACCACGATGCCTAACGATGTGAAATATTATTTTGATATAATCAAAACTGATAAATTTAACACCCTTTTAATTTATCACAAATTCACACTCGCCGTCCCAAATTGACATCTAACAATGTATCAGGGCAATATATGTGACGGGAAATGTCACGTGATATGACAAAGCCAAAATTGTTCTTTTACCATAAAATTATAATCCCTTCGTCAATATGATTCGATCAACTACGAGATATGGAAATGTGTCAATCTCGATTATCGATCATATCTTTCATTCTACTATTAAGTCAATATGAGTCGAAAACTCCTTTTCGACTTATATGTATACCTTGGCCAAGGATTTCGTTATTGACTTAATTGAACGAAATACAGATCACAATCTCTTACTATCTAAGAGTGATGAATCCTCTATTGGTCATTCATAACCTTCATATGGTTCTTAACATATCCGAACGATGTCGTATTAGCGGCCCTTAGCAGAGCAACATCCAACACCGTCAAAGTATGACTATCTTCATACAAGGCACTATGATAACCTCAAATCATATGACCCATTCCACTACCGAACGTTAGAGATTAACTACTGACACTCAAATAGTTATTCACGTGGAATCTCTCAGCGGGTCTCCAATATTTTGTTCTATAACAAAACATCCACGTGTTCATTTAAGTGTCACCACACTTTAACTCGTGAGATCAGCTACTCACTTCACAAGTAAGAAATGCCACACGTGATGATCTATCTGTATTAACGATATCCGTATCTCATTATTACTTACGACCACGGTTTATTCAAGATCCAATCATACGTAATTTGTATCTCACAATTACAACTTATTGTGATTAGCAAATCACTTAAACTTGAATTTTCGGACTGTATTATTTAATATTATTTATCACAAAATTAATTTAAATAAATAATAGATCTTGCCAAAATTAAATACATTAAACATATTAAAAGTGTTTACAACCTAAATCGATTGGATCTAGGGCATAACACTTACAACTAAATGGTTTAATATTTGCCTTTTCAAATGAAAGCTTCCAAGCATTCATATTTATATAAAAAATTCATAGGCTGTGAATCTCGTGCTTCTATTCACCTGGTCTGGTTAACAGATTATTCAATCAACTCTTAAATTTCTGCTAGTTCTTGAAAGCCATTGATCCCGGGATGAAAGATATAAGCCTAAAGAACAACTAAACCTTATGCCCACAAATTTCAAATTGGTCACAAGAATCTTTTTCGCCACTCTGAATGGTTCATTGCCTAGTCTATTTGAAGATCACAACAGGCCACATTAGTTTTAATCTATGCCTCCCTCTCCAATCAATTCTGTTGAGATTGAGTCACTCTTATAGATGGGAACCTTTAGGTTTATGCAAGACATGCCCAACCACCTAAGTTGTCAAATGTATAATTCATCCTCAAATGCTGCCACATTTACTCGTGGTGCGTATTCTCATTTCTTATCTAATCTGTTCTAGCACGACCAGATGTCCACTTATGCATCCTCACTCCTACATTCTTCATTTCAGACATTTTGTCCTTATAACATGGCAATATTAAGTAGCATATTATATAGTATCTCTAAGACTGCACCTATCTCCAGGTAATGATTTATACATGAAACCAGACTCATTTGCTTTTTGTTCTCTGCGTGATTATTTTTGTGTTTCACCATTACCCATTCTTGCATTTTGCTTGCAGAAAATGAATCTGCATTTGACCTTCTATACTGTATCACATTCAAATTAATGGATCACCAATGGCTTGCCATGCATGCTTCTTACATGGACTTCAATGTAAGTGCTCTCCAATTGTTAGATTTGCTCGAATATAGAACTCAGAAGCCAATATAATTTCCCTTTCAAGTCCGCTCCATATCTATCTTCTTCAGAAGTTCCTTATTGCCAATTTAGAGGTTTTATTCCCTCGAAATAGTCCCTCGAAGCAGGTCTCCGTACTTCAGATTCTATGATTAGGCATTGCTAAAGACTTATTTCACTTCGTGAAAAAATGAAAACTCAACCGAGTCCTTTTTGCGCTTGTATTGCTAATATCAACTGGGGTTTTTTTCATGTTAAATTAGCCACTGATCAGAGTTCCTGTTACATTTAGACCCTAATTCGTCTAGCAATCGATCATTTTCAAACGTTAATCTCCTGTTGGATAATTGTTTGGATACACTGGACAATCTTTTATTGTTGGTACGTCTACAGATTTTGCACCGCGTCTGGTGCTTACTTTTTTATCCAGTAACCGTTGATAGTTTATCAATCTTTATATGTTAGTAGACTGTGATGAAAGCTACTCGTCGTCAGCTAGAAAGGGAGCTTCTGCAACATATCACATGCCTCGAAGACTTGCCCTCGTATAGCCTCCTTAATCGATAGTTTAGGTAGCATGTGTTTCAAGTTGCTTTTCAAGTAGCTGACTTTGTAATGCTGGAGCAAATGCGCAAATGCACAGGATTTGCCTTGCTTCGAAACTTTGGAAATATGGGTTGGTTGCACTTGCGATTCCTTTTCTTTTCCCTACTAATGATTGATAATCGGCAACTGTAATATGGCCTTTATTCTTCACCTTTTACTGTTGAAAAGATTTGTAAATAAGAGCTTGCTTGACGGAGCATCACACAGAGTAGAACGACGATAGCTGACAAACTCTTAAGTTACGAAATGCATTTAAAGAAATATATATATATAATTCGTTTTGTTAGGTCAACTCAAACTTCATGCAATATGGAAAATTGCGTGTTCCCAATCTATATGCCATGGTGTAGCAAAGAGTGTATCAACCTTGCTCATTCTTGTTGAGATGCAATTATCGTGCCCAAAGATATCATTCACAACTCAAATGGTATGTTTTGTACGATAAATGACTATACAATTATCGTGCCCAAAGATATCTTTCACGACTCAAATGGTATGTTCTGTACGATAAATGACAAATTTTATAACACACCTCTTCATTAAACCTATACAACCCTCAGTCTAATATGACCAGTGTACCAAACATAACCTAAGAATCCATTATCCTAATTCGTACAACATGACTTGCAAGTTCATCAATACCGGAATTACGAGAGAAACATTCGAAAAGTTATCCTCCTATTAAGCCAAGTCTGGCGCCTCAAACAACGAAACTGGTAACAACAATTAAGACAAATAAACCAGTTACAAAATATGCAAAATCAAGAGTAGTTAAGTATTGAGTGCTCACGGCTCACCAATGTCCACTAGGTTCAAGGACGAGACCAGATCTCTCTCCCACCACTGAAATTTTGACACCGTGTTTTGACACTTCACCGTGTCAACATTACAGTGAATTATAAACATTATATATATATATGATGAACTATGTCCACTAAAATTGACACCTCAAAATTGTAGTTTTAAAAGTATCAATTTGATCGTGGGATGGTGAGTTAATGCCCTTGATCTCAAAAGATTATTAAAACCCGTTATTATATGTCATATACAGTAAAGATCGCACCCGAAAAATCAAACTATGAAAGACAAATTGACTTAGCATTATGATATAAAACATCCTCAATAACAAATCCATATCATTTCACCACAGGCACAAGAGCACCACTCTTAATTCTTAAAACATGTCTGAAAGCACGAATTATGACGGAGATAGTAACTTTCTTCTATAATAATCACAACAAATGAGCCGTACATAGAGATAGCTCAACTCAAGAAAGAAATTTACTCGTAGATCCAGGGGTGAAGGCTGCTCTTCCATTCAGCAATTCCCTCGGGAAACCATAGAGCAATCTCTTTCCTTGCGCTCTCCACTGCATCGCTACCATGAATGACATTCCTGCACCCACAAAAAACATGTGTCTTACTTCTCTGCTCTTTCCATTTAGTGAAGCTTTAGTAACGAGGAACAAGAATAGAGAACTTTGAAAACGTTTTAATTCAGTAAACACATTGATAATTCTTTTCACACATATAAATTAGGTACAAAATGTTTTATGGTAAGTTTAGAACACTTAGGTGTTTGGTGGGGATTAAAATTAGATTTTTAGTATATTTTGATAGAAGATTTTGAAATGTGTGGTTGAAAAGTTGTAAAACTCAAGAAAGATGTAATTAATATTGATTGTTTGACTGGGCCTAAAAGTAAAAATGCAGCAATTCGCCTATACTTTCCTGAAAGATATTGAAACAGCAAATCAATAAATCACATCTGCAGTTAGATAGATCCAATATAAGAAAAGCCATAATTTTTTATGCATTGGGATTTTTCAAAGTTTAACCAAATTTTCGGTTTCACGCTAAACATCCAACACGAGCATTAAATATCTTTCGTGGTAGTATGACGGAATATTCGACACTGGATATTATTAAGAGAAGTGGTGGTAAAATATTTTCCTTTTATTCAGAGTGTTGTACAATATTTCGTACCAAACATGCCCATAACAAACATGTCTGATGAAATTAAAGAATCCAGTGTCTTGACTCGAGCAAACAATACCGAGTATTTGAAGGACTAAGTTAATGCAAAAGTGTTAATTTTGATAAGAACAGACCTAGACTATGTTTTTGACATGAGCAAATAATTCCCATATGAAAATGAATCATTACTAAGAAAGCTAGCTGACCTGCCAATGTCAATGGCGTAATCACCACGGATGGTCCCAGGAGCAGATTCTGCAGGGTTGGTAGCACCAATGATCTTCCTACCAGTAGTAACTACATTCTTACCCTCCCAAACCATTGCAACAACGGGGCCAGATATAATGTACTCAACAAGCCCGTTAAAGAAGGGCTTAGCAGACAAATCTGCATAGTGTTTCTCAGCGAAAGGGCGGTCTACGGTAACGAGCTTCAGACCTGTATCCGAACAAAACTCAGAAATGCAATTAGGAGTTTCCATATTATTCAAATGAAAGTAAAAGCATGATCAGATGATTTATCAACAGCTAAATATCACAGGAAAAAAATGAGCTTGGGATGGTTCATGATATCAGGAACCCAAAAGAAAAGGAAATTAAAAATAAAATAAGAATATAGATTTCCTCGTGTATGAAAAGAAACCAAAACAGGAAAAAGAGCTCATACCTCACCCACAACCTAGTTGTATTTTTCCAAAACAATATTGAGTTCTAACCGCCAAAACGAGGGAACATCTACCAGGACCAACAGGGGTACAAAACTAGAGACAATGCTTCAAAAATAGACCGAGGACAAAGGTTGGGGAGCAATGGGGCGATATTGTGCAATGACATGACACTCATATTCGTAAAAAATTTCTAATGCTATTTTGGAAGACAAATGTAAACAGATGTTTTACATAATTAAAACTTACTTTTATATTCCAAAATTTACACAATCGGGCTTGTGTTCCTTGCTTGTTACAACTTAAAAAATATAACACAAAACATCACACGGTGTATTGGTGATGTAGGAGACGTGTTGTGGGAAGTTGGAAATTCTAAAAACTATACAAACAACAGGACATTGAAAGAGTTGTGCCTTCACAAGTCCTAGCGAGTCCGAGAAGTGTCAACAAACATCAGTACTCCATTTTATGAGTATCTGTTCTCGGTAGTCCATGGCACATTCTTATCCAGCTTAACATAAAATAGATAGCTATAGGATAGAATATTATAATTACAAGTTTTCATATTATACTCCTCATGTGCTTACATTGCTCATTGGCAGCAAAAATATTAAGAAAAAAGCTTCCCAAAAGATTATCTTTTCGATTTATTTCAAACATTAAAACAGAGAAGAAATAAGTAGTCAACCCAAAGAAGAAGAAATATCAGGATTATCATGAATGAACATCCCATCATCATGTACATAAAGATAAGATGAGTAATATGTAGTCTATGAAGGGTTCAGTATTTGGAGGGACGGGTGAACTCCTTTGATCTCAAAATAAAAAAAAATAAAACAATAAAAAACACAAAGAAAATGAAGGTACAAGATAATTAAAGTGAAACACCATTGAAGACACAGGTAATAGAGCAATAAAGATCTTGATGAACTTGTACCATTTGCTGGTATTGTTGCTCCAAAATGGAAGAAAAACTACATTTACCTTTCAAAGTGAAACCTTTTTTCTCAAATCTGCCAATAATTTCACCAACCTGAAACACAACAATAACATGTATAAGAGCTTGATTGGCTAAGCCTAAAACAGTAAAAATACTTTAGAGTAACTTTGTAGCCCCAAACATGTTACCATACTTTACTTTTTTCTAATTTTGAGCAAAACAAATTACTTTTCAAACTTTTTCACCAAAAAGGATTATTCATTTAAAACTGGATTTCTTACTTATATTTACTTAAGTAAACAGTTTAAGCTTGTAGCTAATTATTTCTCTTAAAATTCATCGCACACAGAACACACTTGCTCCACTGAGACTTTCTTAAATGTTAGTCCAAAAAATTAAAAACCAGAAATAACTTGCAATTCTTTTGCAGTTCCCCAACAAAAATAATTCCATTTCTTTTTTGCTTCCCTTCATAATTAATGGGCACTAGAAAGTTCCAAATCTGAAAACAAATGGTCCTTTTAAGGAAAGAAATCAACCCAGAAACGAATTTATAAAAAATTAACTATCCCATAAACAATAAAGTCCAAGATAAAAACAAAAGGCAAATTCTTAAAATTCAACAGAAAAAATAACACGTAGATCCAGAAAAATGAAAAAAAAAATTAATAATAATAATGATAGAGAGAATATACCAGTCCTCTTTGGACGCCATCAGGCTTGATCATGATAAAAGTTTGCTCCATGGTTACGTTTTCTTCAAAGCCGCCAAGTATGTGAAATTGAACTTCAAATGATTTATAAATTTTTGGCTAGGCAAGAACCCTAATGCTGCCCAGTGGAATATTCCATTTTCTGAACCATACCGTTTGATTAATTTTCTTTTCCTAAATTAAAAAAATAAAAAATAAAAAAATTGCCAATAAATTTTGCAAAATTAATTTGGGTTTCTCTCCTTGCACAACATGTGGGGCCCACCCCATGTCTCACACCCTGTGCACACCCTGTGCACAGGGTTCTGTGCAAGGAGAGAAACCCTAAATATTTTCTATATCTATAGCTTTATTGATGCTTTTTTGTCCGTCCATTCATTTAGAAGGTGTGTGAAGGAAATTAAAATTATATTTTTTAGAAAATTGTGATAGAAATTTTTGAAATGTGTGATTGAAAAGTTGTGGAATTAATGAAATATGTGATTGATATTTATTGTTTGACTTTGACTTGTTTGATGTGAATTAAAAATATTTTTTTTTTAAAATTGTAATAAAAGTTTTTAAAATGTATGCTTAAAAAGTTGTGGGACTAATGAAAAATATAATTTATATTTAGTGTTTGACTTTGATTTAGATTAAAATTAAATTTTAATCCATACCAAACGGATTCTTAATATAACTAGTGGAAGATTAAATTTTTTAAATAATTTTGAGATCACAATATTTACTTTTAATCTTTTTTATCTTCATTTTAACTCAAATAATTGTGTAGTGTATATATTAATTGTTGGCCACACCTTTACTTAAATTGCTTTCTCATATTAAGTTAATGTTTGGTTCATGAATTGAAAACATTTGTTAAATGCAATAATATTTTATAGGATTAATAACTTTTCAATCACATGTTTCATTAATTTTTATCAAAATTTACTAAAAATTTGTTATAGAAACCAAACAATAGCTAAATAATGCAAACTCATGTAACAACAGTAGCTACGAAACTCACACAAGATTGAAATAAATCCAAGAAAGCCAATAATCAACGTTTAATGTCTGACCCAAAAATATTAGATCAAGAAACCAACACAATCATCGACAATGTGTTGACCCATTGATCACAAGATTCAAGAATCTCACCTAAATTTTTGAACACCACAAGAAAATAATTATTAATAAGTTCGAAATTTAGTTCAATGAAAAATAAGGAATTGAAAGCAAAATTGCTCACAAAATTAATTGCTCATTGGGATGCTGTCACACAGATGATTCAATTTCCTCTAGCCAGAATTTTCCAAAGCACTACGCGGTCACATGTGTTGAGAAACTATGCAGTTGCATAGTTCAAACGTTTAAGTCCTACGTCTGCTGTTTGAATCGTGTTGAACCAACTTGTTTCCTCTTTCGAATCCAATACGAAACTTGTTCATTTACTTGTCAAAATCAATGTTTTGTCCATTGTAGCTCGTACAAGTAACCCCGTCACTTCTTTAACCCGCTCTGCTCACGACCTAGTCATCCGTTCTTCTTCAACGATCAAAGGATCTTAGCCCAGACTTGCCTTCTTTGCATTTGTTCCATGGATCACATCATTAAACTTTAGTTTTATGTGCATCAAAGAGATAATCTGTATCTACATATTCTATTAAAGTAAATCCCGACTTTTTGTGAATAAAATATTCTCAAATTAGTAGTATCTTCAGGTCATGAAATATGTGTTTAATACCTTTCCAATCAATGCATTTGAGTTGGTGCACAACTATATTGCAATAAGATTTACAAAAACAAAAGCTATATCGGGTCAAGCGAGTTTGCAAGATAAGTTAATGCTCCAATTGTATTAAAATATGGTACTTCAAGACCAAGAACCTTTTTCTCAATTTTCAAATGAATGAAATGAATCTCTTTCTCATAAAATGATCGAACAACCATAGGTGTTGCCAATAAATGTGTATTATTCATATAAAAAAGTTTTAAGATTTTTCTATATATGTAAATTAATGAACAAATAATCCTTTTAAGAAGTGTTCAATCTGTAACCTTAGATAAAATTTAATTTTTCCCAAATCTTTCATCTCAAATTCGTTTTTCAAGTAATCTGCAATTTTGTTAAGTTCTTTAAGAGCTCCAATTAAGGGGGTATTTGTGATCCATTTTTATGTAAAAAAGCATTTTTGAATAGTAAATTGATGAGAAATGTGTGGTTAAAAAGTAAGGAAATATTTTTTATTCACGTGTAATATTATTTTAATAAAGAATGTGTGGTTGAAAAGAATTGAAAGAAAAATGCATTTTAAAAAAAAAAAAGGGTAACAAACGGCTCCTAAATTTAAATCGTCAACATAAACTGATACAATTACAAATCCAATGTTTGTTTTCTTTTATAAAAACACATGGGCAAACAACGTCGATTTTATAATCCTTCTTCAACAAATATTCGCTAAGGCGATTATAACATATGCGTCCACATTATTTCAATCTATATAATGATATTTACAAGTTAATTGAAACATAGTTCTCGGACAAATATCATTTATTCCTATCACTTTATGTCCTTTGGGAATATTCATATACAAGTCACTATCAAGTGAATTATAAAAATATGTAGTTACTACATTCATAAGGCGCATATCAAGCCTTTTTGACACAGTCAAACTAATTAAGAATCAAGTGATGATGTTCATTACGAAAGAATATGTTTCTTCACAATCAATTTCTAATCTTTATAAGTAACCATGAGCTATGAGTTGGGGGTTTTTATCTTATAATTTTATTATTTTAATTTTTCTTTCGTACAAATACATATTTGTACCCTACATGGATTAAATTTTCTAGTGTTCGAACTATAGATTGAAACACTTTTCGTTTCTCTAGGAAATTTAATTCCATTCATGTTGCTTCTTTCCATTTTAGCTAATTATTTCTATGTTCACGGTCTTTAACAAATTGTGGTTCATGATCCTTATTTTGTATAATATCATCAACCATGTTAAAGACAAAAATATTGTCTATAAAAGTATTATTTTGTTCGCATAATTTATGAGATAACATATAATTTATTGAAATCTCATTATTTTTTAACACTTGTGACTTTTCAGGAACCATATATTCAATATTTGATTTATCAATATTTTCTAATGCTACTTCTTCCAAAATTTTTGGTTGAATTTTCTCTTGTACCTTTCTTTTTCGAGGTACATAATCTCAATGTCAACCATGCTTATAACGCATTTGATATTCATTTGTTACAGCAAATTGTCCTTCAGAAACATTGATTCTCGCTCGAACATTTTCTAATTGTATATATGACTTTGATACTTTTTTTGTATTAACAAACATATTAGGTAATTGATTTGCAATATTTTGCAAATGGTTTTTTTTTTTCACATTTTGGTTACATTGATTGTTACAAGGATCAAAGTGAGATAGAGTTATTCTATTCCAAGAAATTTTACTTTATTTTTCAGGATATAGTTTTATCCCCTCAAAGTTGGAAAAATTATTTCTTCAAAATGACAATCTATAAAACGTGCAGTAAATAAATCATATGTTAAAACTTTAACCTAATAAAATATGATGAATCAAAGTCTACATAAATTATAATTTTTTGTTGGGGACTCATTTTAGTACGTTATGGGTTGAAATAAGGATTTGGACAGTACAATAAAATAACCCGTAAGTAATAAATATTATATTTATGACCAAATGTGAGTTGAAAATGTGAATATTGATAATCAGCAGTTGGTCTTATACGAACCAATGATGCAACACGTGATATGGCATGACCCGAAATAAAAGCCATGAATTTTGTTTTCATAAGTAATAGTTTAGTAATAAGTTGTAGACATTTACTGAATGACTCTGCCGAACCATTTTATGTTTGGACAAGCACAACTGAATGTTCAATAATAACTCCAATTGACATAAAATAATCATCGGATGCTTGTGATCCGAATTCACCAACATTATCAAGACGAATTTTCTTGATTGAGTAATCAAAAAATTAAGCTCGTAATATTTTATGATTTGAGCAAATAGTCTAGCAAAAGAATTTTTGTAGTCAAATGTCCAATGACTAACTTGCTATGCGAACAAGTTACAAAGATAATTATTAGGTTAAAGAATCTTTCTTTAGTGGACGTCCATGTGAGTTGATGACGTCCAAGTCAATCAATGCCAAAATTTAAAACTTTTTATGTCAATGAATTTCTGGTTCTTGACAATATTTGATTCGATCATCTTTATAAATGTATAATACATGTCAAATGAGTGTGCATGAAATTTTTCTTTTGTTTGCTTTTAGCCAAATACAAAAGAAGTTATGCAATGATATTATTCAATATTATTTTCTTATACTGTCTCGATTTGATATGCATTGTAGCGGATATCTTTAAAATCAATCAAATTTCTTTTAATTTTGCTAGAACAAAGTGAACCATCAATATACAATTTTGTATTATTTGGTAAAATAGTACAAACTCTTCTCGAGCCTTTAATAATATTCAATGCACCTGATGTTGTATTAAGCCCTTGTTTAGTACCAATTAAAATTTAGATTTTAATTTAAATCAAAGTCAACAATTAATTTTAACCACATATTTTATGTGTCTCACAACTTTTCAACCGCACATTTTATCAACTTCTATCAAAATTTACTAAAAATCTGATTTTAATTTCCTTCAAACAAGGACTAAAATTATTTTATGCTAATTTTGAGTTGAATTTTTTTTTTTTTACCTTGAAGAATATTATGCATAGTTGCACTATCAATCAAGCAGGTACTTAAAAAATCCGTCATAAATATAACAAAATAGGTATATTTAAAAAAAACTCGAATTTATATTTAAAAGAAGTAAACATAATTCTATATTATAAAATTAACGATGCATAATAAAGTCTCAATTTATTATTATTATTTATTTTTACAAAAAGTGAAAACATATTTCAAACTGAATTTCTAAAACAAAGAGAAATACTAAAAAAAAAAAAAAGAAGAAGAAGGTAAACTAATCTATATATTCCATCACACCACCTCAATTAAATGGTTAATATTGTCATTTGAATCAACAAAAAAAATCAAAGAAATGAGTCACGTCAATTGAACTATCGTAATTAGAAAAATTTGTTTCCACTTTTCCATTTCCTTTGATTGATTTTTGATAGAAATCCATAATATGTTTTGCCGTATAACAAGTACGTGCCCAATGTCATTTCATTTTACATCTAAAACAACTTTTTGTACTCCTTTTTGGATATGCTAATTTCGTTTACTCTATACATTTTGTAATTATTGCCTTGTTGATGATAGTTTTGTTCATTATTTTGTCAATGGTTTATTTCACGTCCACGTCCGCGTCTTGATATTATATTTGTTTCAGGCATGTAGTGTCATTTGCTTCAGGTAATGATATAGAACCAGTTGAATGTAACAAATGATTTTTCATAATAGTTCGTTATTTTGATAAATTAAAAGTATGCAGGATATGAGTTCTGAGTACTCTTTGAATCATGCTCACGATATTGTTGCCGCAGGAATACATTCGAGACACGAAAAGTAAAAAAAGTTCTCCACGCAAAGTCAATTTTGGTTACACAATCCAAAAAAGTAGCAAAAAATTATTATAAAATATAACATGAAAATAAAATTTACTAATTAATGGAAGAATTCGAAATAAATTCAAATGACGACGTTATTTTGGCTTTGATATCGTGCTAGAAACTGTAAATTAAAAATTAGCCACATACAATATTGAAAAACCAACGAAAATTCTATATATAACTTTTCCTTTTGTCAACTACAAACAAACAAAAATCCTAGCACTCAATTTATTGAGTTACAAAAGCCTACAAATAACTTAATTCTACACTAATTACACAATCAAATTCTATTACAAATAATCTCAAAAATTTTTAATAAATATAAAAAAATGCCCCCACACTCTTTTCTAAATCATTATGTCTTACTTTTGAACCTTTTATAAATCTGAATCAGAAACCTAAACACGAAAGGCACAGCAGCAGCGCCAAAAAGAGCACCAAATCTCACTGATTCATCAGGTGAAATGGCAAAAACTGCAGATGCATAGGTCGCAAACATTCCCAGAATTGCAGCCCACAATTCAAGATAAAAAGGGAATTTGTATGTCAGAGACATGAGTACAAGAATTGATGAAGAAAGGGCCAAAGTATTCGAAGTTAAAAAGACATGAAATGCTCCATTTTGGCTCGCGTATATTGCCGTTCCTGCTTTATGTCCATTCGTATCGTCCTGCCAAACTCCGCCGGGCGGATTCACTCCGGACTGGAACGTTACGGCGGTGATCACTGTAGCAACTACCAGGAGAACGTTTCGAGTGTCATTTGGCGTGTCCACGTATTCGTCATAGCGAAACCTGAACCAACTTCCCTTTGATACTTGAGGTGAACAAGCCATTTTTTCTTTTTTCAATCAAGAAAATATTAGGGAGAATTTGTCACGATCTTAATGGATGTGTTAATGAAGTAAAGTTGTTGGAAATGAATTAATCCTGATATTAAAGTCTTTTATGTAAACTTTCTTGTCAATAAATGTCTGCTATACCCAAGTTTGAATATTCCACAAAAGTTCATCTTCAAATCTTCCAGAATATAAAGAATATGGTGATATTTGATGATCCGGTCATAATTGTAGTTTAAATATTAATGTTCTTATTACAAATGGATTTGTCAATAAATAGGTACGTACTTTTTTGATAGAGGGTTCGTTTGACATAATTACTTTTACTAGTCAATGTCACGTGCGTTGCACAAATTTTGTATTTATCGTATTTTTATTAGCATATGAATTTTAGTTTTTAGGAAAGAATAACATGTCTTTATAATAAAGTCTATTAAAACTTATTTTAGTTGGCATATGCACGTAACTATCATTTTAAAACTGTTGTTCCTGAAATGTTTAGTAATTTCTTTTGAAAACGTTTGGTTCTAGGGGTGTCACAGCATAGAAAAAAAGTAATATGGTAAAAAATTCCATTCGAACTTACGTGCAAAACACCAAGTATCTTCAGATTTGGCGTCGGATTATGTGCACCTGTTAAGAAACAAAATAAGAAGCATAAGCTATATTTTCCTTGGCTTGAATCGGACTGCAGTTACAAATAAAAGGATGGTATAATTGACTTTTTCTTCCCTCTCTTGAAAATGGTCATTTTTTACACATTTATTGTATATACTATTTAAGCTACTTATCATTTGCACTTTTGGCAATGGTATTGTCAACTTCAAATGCCAGTATAGATATTTGATTTCTCCTAGAAGCCACACCATTTGTAAATCCGCCGAGTTCAAATTTGTCATGCTGCTGCTTAGTGTATCTAGAACTTCCACTGCCTTCTCCAAGCCTACTATGCCAGCCTTCTCAAGAAATGAAATCACCTGAGATGCCTGTCACAGTAAGTAACTTGCCTTAACATATTATCAAGATGCCATCTTTCAGAAAAGTTTTTTATCCTTGGTTCTTTCTCAGAAAAAAGAAGGGAATTAATAAAATGTTCAACAATTATTTAAATACTAACATTTTTGCAAATGGTCTGCTCCCAACAGAATATAAAGAAGCTAGGTAATGTTTATAAACCACATTTGTTTCTGACTTCAACGTACCATGAAGTGAAAGGACAAATCATGTTTATGAAAATAGCATCTGTCTCACTGATTATATTTTCCTGGATTTCTATTCATCCATTTCATGTTAAACAGAAATTGTAAGTAAACACCATCTGGATCACCCAAGGTCCTTTCAACAAAAATGATAAACTATACACCATGCATTTCCTTAGTCAAACCAGCAATTATAATGCATCCACGTATCGTTTCTCTTCTTCCTCCTTTCCATTGCAACCATTTCCACACTTGATTAAACAATCTAATATCCTCCATTGTTTAAACTACCTCACAGAATTTGATATATAACAGCTAAATAATCCTATGCGGACAAAAATCCATACAGCAAAGCTCCAATTTTTTGTCTATATTATCAAAATTGTGTTGTGGTAGCCTTCAATTTGAACAGGAACAAATTTATATCTCCAACACCAGTACTATGGCATCAAACTATAAAACAGCCTAAAGATTCCTACTTCACCCAATTAAAGCTAGGATTTCGTGAACTCCACAGTTGAGAATTCAGTAAATTGTTGGAAAATACAACAACGCTAAATTGCTTCCCCCGTACGTCTCATACAAAGCAAACCCAGAAATGAACTCGCAATATTTCCCACTTTTTTGACCTGAACAATCCCCCCACCACAACGCAAAAAAAATGATTACTAAAGAAAGAAACGAACCCAAAAAAGTACCACGATAATACATAGAAAATTGAATACAAAATAACAAAATGAGCCGTAATAAATGAAGAAAAATTATGCAATTCTGGGCTAAACCTTAAGAATTGGGAGAAAAGTGGACACTTAAGGGACTTGAGGGAATGCCTGTGAAAAAGAAAGCAATAGCATGAGGTTATAAAGTTTCAAAAAGGGTCATGAGAGTGAGACAACCAGTGACGAGGCTCACAACTATTCATAAACTGAAAAGAACCAAAATTTAGTTTCAATTTACGATTTACTGATCACCAAAAGAAATATTATTGTTGGGTGATTATAAAGGTGTTAGCTTGGCTCACGCATAATGAGAGTTGCGAGAATGTGCTAACAACAAAAATCTCTTATGAGTTATTTGATGAGTTATTTGTTGGTTTGCTTGTGTGCGAACTGTAGGCTGTCTCACATGAGTGAGAGTGACTCATGATCTGAAAATCGTATGATGGACGATCGACTCAGAACATTATTCTTTATCTGAAAGAGGAGTTTGAAACTCTCTATTTTGAAATCATTAGATTTTCAATCAAATCTAAGTCACGATTCTCGCCGACTTAAGCAAAAAACCTCATTCTTTTGGATCCAAAAATGGTAGCATGTTCCTGTCCCCTTACGAAACTTTCGTTATTGGATTAGGTATATACTTCACACGGCATCATCGAACATCCCTAGGTTATCGAAATGTTGAATTACATCCCCAAACAAGTCAATCATGCTTAATTTTTCATAATTCATGCAAGTAACGTCATTTTTGTTAAGAGTACAATCTAGATTCTTTTCCTTATGTTTTCTTTTAGATGTATAAATATTAAAAAAAAATTTGAAGCATTTATGTTTTCTAGTTAATAATCATAATTGTGTTATGTTTTGTATACGCGCAATGTATAATATCATTGACTTGTAATGTGTCCCGAGCAATCTCATCATTGTGTAATGGAGTGAGTACAATAAATAGTAGATGAGTAAGGATTACAACCTTTTTTTGGCTAGATAATAGGATGAGCTTTGGGTGGCAAGACTAGCCGTGCCACTTCAGGTTGGGACATCGGAGTCACACAAGTCCATTTACAACCATCAAAGATTTTCACCACTCTAAAAATGCCTGCTTCCTTATCTGTAATTAAATGTCATCAGGATGAGGTATGTCCCAACCATTTTACACAACCCTCAATTCAAAAATAAGTTAGTAACTCGATGTTGAAATCTGACTTAGGTTTGGGAACTTCTTCCAAATGTTGAAATTATGGCACGATCAAACAAGACTCGAATTGAAATGTTTAAATATGGTGAGCATATTATTGGCATTCAAAGTCACCCCAAGTACACTAAGGATATCTTGTTGAATATCATTGACCGTCTTCTCAATTGCAATCTCATTGAGGTATGAAAATAAAATTCTAACATTTTGATTCTATTAAACTTTTGTCACCTTATACATACATGTCTTGTATCTATCTTTTTCAAGAGTCTCTTGCAGAAGAGGCCAATTCCAAGTTGGAAAGTAGTGAGCTGGATAGTGAGGTATGGAAGAAACTGTGTACCAGCTTTTTCAAAGGGAAATTGGGATAGAAACTTAGAACCACTAAAATTAAAATATGTAAATAGAATATTTGGATCTTTGGTTAGAAAACTATTGACTTTTTATTTATTGAGAACTTTGTTCTATCTTATTAAGACATTCCTGATCAACTATGTTTCCAATTTCTTCTGTGTGGTCTATGGTTATGCAAAGCTTAAGAAGTGATCATGGAACTTGAGTTTCTCCTGTATTCAACCCACATATCCATATAGAACTAGCGCTTGCTAATTTCATTTCCATAGTAGTTCAGGCACTGCATAATAAATCAAAGATGAAATATTTGCATCAGAACTTTATGTTGCAATAATACAAAGAGCAGCTTATATTCATAATGTCACGAAGACGTCGATGAGAAACTCGAAAAATTATGAAAGAGTTTGGAGCTTTTTCCTAATTTTTTGAAACTTTACCTTATGCTTAGTTATTTGATAAGTATGTTTTTACACACTTATTTGGTTCACAAACATGATTTAAACATGGATAAAATGGTTGAATTGTGGCTTAATCCTATTAAATTCATGCAATGTGGGTATTTCAATGGAAATTGTGGAATTCAGGAGAAAAGAGCCGAAGAAGGACCAAAACGCAACAAAGTGATAGTTCGAGGACCAAAGGTGCAAATATTGAGAAGTTGAGATAAATGCAAAACGAGAGTGAAAACATGCCAAGTATGAGCTCAATGACAAAGCAAAACAATTGGAAGAAGAAAGTATTGAAGAGGGACTGAAATGAAGACAATTGAAAGTTGGAGGACTAAAGCGCAAATACTCAAAAGATGTGCCGAATGAGTGGCATTAGAATTGATGGTGTCAATCATCAATTGGAAGATAAAATTTGCTGAAAAGATGAAGAAATCGAAGAAAGAAGTCAAGAGAAGCAACAAGGAAGTTTAGGGACCAAAATGTAAAAATCACATAGTTGGTTATATCTATGCGACCGCATAGTGTAACCATCTATGCGGTCGCATAGATGGATGCAGGGAAAATATTGGGGCATTTCAAATGACCTATGCGACCGCATAGGTTCCTTCTATGCGGTCGCATAGAAGAAATTTCGGGGGGTTTTCTGCAGTTTCCTTTTTTGACTCCAACTCTTTTTTTACCTAATTTGGACACGCTATATATACCCTAAAACACGTCCAGAACTAGGGTAGACGATTTTGGGAGAAAAGAGGCACACAATAACATCAAGATCCAAGAATTTATGCAAGAAGAAGGAGGATTTCATCGAGATTGAAGATTTCAACCATCAATTATAATAGGGTGATGTCTTCTCCTTTATTGAATCTTTGTAATTTTCTTCAAAACATGATAGGCTAATTTTTTATTCATTGGGAGTCGATGAACCTTTGATTTTCTTATAAATTCTTATATTTCATGAGTTTAATATAAATTATCTTTGGAATAAATTGTTTGATATATATTGCTTTGATTGAATCCATGATTTATTGGCCATTTATTATGTGATTGTGATGGTTTATTCTTTACATTCGAAAGAAGTAGAATAGACTCGATATATATAAATTGACATAGGGTCCGATAGGGGATAGAAATATACCCCTATGCT